ACTTTCACATTTAGATCTATGATCTATCTTATTTATTTATTTGTTTTTTATTTTTTCCCCCCCAAAACCCCAGTAGATAGTTGTATGTCATAGCTGCACATCCTTCTAGTTGCTGTATGTGGGACGCGGCCTCAGCATGGCCGGAGAAGTGCTGCGTCGGTGTGTGCCTAGGATCCGAACCCGGGCTGCCAGCAGCGGAGCACGAGCACTTAACCGCTAAGCCACGGGGCTGGCCCATATGATCTATCTTAGAATAATTTTGCATATAGTGTGAGGTAGAGGTCAAGCGTGTTTTTGGTGTCTTGTTTGTTTGTTCTTAATATATGGGTCTTCAACTAACCTGCATCATTTATTGAAAAGACCATACTTTCCTCATTGAATTGCAATGGTGCCTTTGTTGTAAATCAAGTGATTGTAAATATGTGGATTTGTTTCTGGACTCTGTTCTGTTCCATTGATTTATGTGTTTGTCTTAATTACAGTAGCTTTATAATAAGTCTTGATATCTGGAGAGTGAAGTCCTCCAGGTTTGTTGTTCTTGAAGACTGTCTGGACTATTCTAAGTCCTTTGCATTATCATATAGATTTCAGAATCAGATGATCAATTTCCACTAAAAAAAAAAGAGAGAAAGAAAAGAAATACACTGGGCTTTTCATTGGGATTGCTTTGACTCTACAGATTATTTTGGAGAAGAATTTTTGAAGTATTAACAATATTGAGCTTTACAAGCCATTAATATGGTATATCTCTCTGTTTATTTCATTTTTAATTAGTATCAGCAGTGTTCTGTAATTTTCAGTGTAGAGGTTGTACAAAATAGCTAGATTGTCCCTAGCTATTTTATTGTAAATGATACTAGCTCTTTTAGGTAATATAGGAATATGTTCATCCAAAATATAGGTATATATAATAATATGTCTATCCAAATTATAGGTATACAGACAGGATGCTTATCAGTGACAGGCTGGTCTACTCAGATTTGGGGGGAAAGATTGCCTTCAGAGAGCTTAATTGTAAAATGACACTTAACAGATCAAACCACAAATATGAAAAGTCACCTTAAAGAAAGTAAATGCCTCCTAACCTACGAAGACCTTAAAGAGTGAATACATTAATATATCTGAAGAGAGAATGTGTCAAGGAGAGTCACAGAGGTAAAAATTGTCACTGCCCCTCCAAATGATGTCTGGAAAAGTGCACCTGATCAGGAAGGACCACATGGCACTCAGGACAGGGATGGCTATATCAAGCTGGCTGAGGCTAATGCCTCGGCCTGGTTTTGCATTCACTGAACACTCTGATCACTTGGCTTCTCACATAACCTGCTTCCAAGAAGAGAACGTACTGGTGAAGTGGCTGCAAGGATCAGCTCACTCAACAATTATGCTTCTCGGGCCGGCCCCGTGGCTTAGTGGTTGGGCGTGCGCGCTCCGCTCCTGGCGGCCCAGGTTCGGATCCAGGCGCGCACCGGCTTCTCCGGCCATACTGAGGCCGCGTCCTGCGTACGGCAGCTAGAAGGATGTGCAGCTATGACATACAACTATCTACTGGGGCTTTGGGGGAAAAAATAAATAAATAAAAATTAAAAAAAAAAAACAATTATGCTTCTTACTGTAAATAAAATGGGTACTCTGTCTTCTCTCCTGGTCTCTTCGGAGATTTGTTAAGACAAGTCAGCATCTCAGGGCCCTATCGGTCCTTAGACACTGCTGAGATCAGGCTTCTTAACTTGCATGGCTGAGGACTAGACTCCATAGTGAATGTGACAAAATTAATGCCATGTAGTGAAGCATCTTGGTGACCCTCAGAGTGATTCTGTCCTATCACAGCCATACGGAAGTGTAAATACATTATGGACGTCATTGAATGACTGGAGATTTGAATTAGTTATAAAAGAACATAGCTGTGTAACAAAATTTCAGCTAAATGGCTTTCATTCACTAATATTTATTGTACCTCTACCATGTGCTATGCTCTTTTTTAGTCTCTAGAGATAGAGAAAAACCAAACAAAATCCCTGCCTTCATGGAGCTTACATTTTAGTTGGGGAGAGAGACAATAAACACATAGATATAGTAAATGATGTCAAGTGTGAGCAGAGAAAAGGAACAGAGTGCCATGTCATAGAGAAGATGATCCGAGGAGGCCTCTCAGAGGAGGTGATATTTGAGCTGAGCCATGGATGAAGTGAGAGTGAGCCAAGTGGATATGTGTGGGCCGAGTATTCCAGGCAGAAGCCCCATATCAGAGTGTACTTAGCAATGAAGAGTGAAGTGAGGGGGCCAGTGAGGTCATGAAGGGTCAGACTGAAATCAGGCCTTCAGGGCCCAGGTCAGGACTTCGCCTTTCACTCCATGTGAGATGAGAAGGCTTCGGAGGACTTTCAGCAGATCTGGCTTCTGTTTTAACAAGATTCCCCTGTTGATAAGTTGAAAGTAGTCACAGAAAGGAGCAGGCCAAGTGACAAGGCGACAGCAGCAATCCAGGTAGGAAATGGTAGTGTCTTGGGCCAGGATGGTAATGTTGGAGGGGTGAGAAGCAGACAGACTCGGGATATGTTTTGGAAGTTGGGCCAACATGATGCACTGATGAACTGAATAATGGGGTAAGAGAAAAAGAAAAGAGTCAAGGATGCCTCCAAGGTTTTGGGCCTGAGAAACTAGAAGGATGGAGTTGCCAACACCTGAGAGGGAAGATTGGGGAACGGCAGGTAGAGGGAGGGAGGAGAGTGATCAGGAGTTGGATTGGCCATGCTAATGTTTGAGGTGCCTATTAGACATTCAGGGGGAGGGAAGAGAGTGTTTCAAGGAGGAAATGAGAAAATGTGTCAGCTGATTGGAGAACCCGAGTAAGATGAGGACTGAGAACTGACAACTGGATCTGGAAATGTGGAGGGCATTGGTAACCTTGCTCTAAAGGGGACCAGAATATTGGCACCACGGCTGGAGGGGGATGCGGAGGTCTGGGAAGGTTTTTGCATTTTAGTTGGTTTTTGTCTTATTTTGTTTTGAAGTATGGGAGCTCGTACATCCAGTTTGAAGCCAAGGGCGATGATCCAGAAGAGAGGGGCAAGTTAAGGTTCGAGAGAGAAAAGACGCTTAGAGGAGCAGAACTGGATTATGTGATAAGGGGTGGGATCCAGGGCACGAATCCGGAGTTGAGCTTAGATGGGAGTACAGACCGTTCTCTTCTGTTGCAGAAGGGAAGGCAGAGGTAGGTTTGTAGTGGGAGGCTGTGGGAGTTCTCTTTTGATTGCTTGGGTTTTCTCAGTGAACTAAGAAGCAAGGCATGAAATGTAACCATCATGAAGGCATGAAAAGATACAGATTATACAGACTAATGACTTCAAACTGTTGAAAATGTATGCTTTTTTATTGACTTAGTATTTTCAATTAAAATAGAAGGGTCAAAAATAGCAGTTGGGCTGGCCCCGTGGCTTAGCAGTTAAGTGCGCACTCTCCGCTACTGGTGGCCCGGGTTTGGATCCCCGGCGTGCACCGACGCACCACTTCTTGGGCCATGCTGCGGCCGCGTCCCACATACAGCAACTAGAAGGATGGGCAGCTATGACATACAACTATCTACTGGGGCTTTGGGGGAAAAATAAATAAATAAATGAAATTATTAAAAAAAAAATTAAAAGCTTTTGTGCATTAGAGGACACTATCAAGCAAGTGAAAACATAAGCCACAGAATGGGAGAAAATACTTGCAAATCATATATCTGATGAGAGTGTTATATCCAGAATATATAAAGAACTCTTACAATTCAATAACAAAAAGACAAACAACCCAAATAAAAAATGAGCAAAGGACTTGAATATAGTTTTCTCCAAAAAAGATATACGAATAGCCAGCAAGCACATGAAAAGATGCTTAGTGACAATGTGATACCACTTCACACCCACTAGCATCACCATTAAACACCCACACACAGACACAGAGAGAGAGAGAGAGAGAAAATAACAAGTGTTGGTAAGGATGCAGAGAAATTGGAATCCTCATACATTGCTGATGGGAATGTGAAATGATGCAGCCACAGTGGAAAACAGTTTGGCAGTTCCCAATAAGTTAAACACAGAATTACTGTAGAACAGGATTTCCACTCCTAGGCTTCTCCCAAAAGAACTGACAACAGGGGTTCAAACAAGAACTTGTACACGAATGTTCATAGCAGCTCTATTCACAATAGCCAAAAGGTGGGCACAACCCAAATATCCATCAACAAATGAATGATTAAACAAAATGTGGTCTATCCATACAATGGAATACTATTCAGCCATAAAAAGGAAGGAAGTACTGACACATTCTAGACCGTGAATGAACCTTGAAAACATGCTAAGTAAAAGAAGCCAGACACAAAAGGCCACATATTGCATGATTTCACTTCTATAAAATATCCAGAATAGACAAATCCATAGAGACAGAAAGCAGAGTAATAGTTGCCACGAGCTTAGGGAGAGGGGATAATGTGGAGTAACTGCTTAATGGGTACAGGGTTTCCATTTGGGGGGATGAAAAAGTTGTGGAGCTAGACAGAGGTGATGAGTGGACATCATCATGAATGTACTTAGTGCCACAGATTGTACACTTTAAAATGGTTGCAGCGGTAAATTTATGTTGTGTGTATTTTGCCACAATAAAAGAATAGTGCATTTAATTCAGATTACATTATTTAAAGCGATGAAATATATATGCCATTAAAATAAACCTAAACTAATTTCTCATTCAGTGTAATTCTGGGAATTGCAGGCTTTTTAGAGCTGGTAAATAGCAAAGACATTGATTGCTTATTCTTAGATTGTAAAGTTAGTTTATTGAAAATATTCAGCAACTTTCTAATTATCACAAATATTAGAATTATTCACCCTGTTACATGAAATTTTAACTACCAAGAGGTTTACAATTCTCCCTGACTCATTGGTTGGGATACTGACCCTGGACTCAAAAAGCAACCTTGCAGAAATCAATCATGTCTGACTTACTGTGACTTAAAAAGCATAAACTGTTCTAATTTCTTTCCATTTCTAACACCATTGGTATTGGGGCCATCACAAATCACATAAATTCATTAGCCGACATGTTAGGATAAAATATAGTCTGCTTTTTTTCATGCTATAAATTATTATAAACATTAGTGTACAGAATATTTAGACTAAGAATGAAATAATAAATCAATATTTGTCCCATGAGCTATGCACAGACACCTTATCAATTTACCTTTCAAATATAGTTTTAATGAAGTAGTGACTCATTGCCATAGAGCTTTTTATAATGATTCTACTTAGTAAATATTTGTTTGCAGGAAGAAAGGAAAGAATTTTCCAAAAACCTAAAAAACATTTTTTAAAGCAATTTTTCAGATTACAACATTAAACTCATCTCCAGCTCTGTAAAGATATATGACATGAGATCTTTAAAGTTTCACTGTGTTTCAGGATTGTTCTTGAAGAGATACTCTGCCTATAATTGAAAGAAAGAAAAAAGACAAGTCAACAATTTAGAAGATACTACAAGATATTTATTAGTGATATATTTGTACTATTAATGTTTACAATTTAAATATAAAAGTACATAAATCTTTTACTTTCAAATGAGTAATAAAAATCTTATCATAAACTGTGAAGATATTAGAGGCTATTTCCCAGATAACCAGACACAGAATTTCTCTATCTCAACTAGCTTTCCATTTAGATTCAGGCATATTTTATTTTCAAATTGATATTTTTAAAAAATCCAAAACTTCAGTCTCTTACCAGAAAATCAATGGGATCATCCGGTCTGACCTTACAGCACTCATTCAGACCCTGCATAAGCGTTGGCATAACGTGGGTCATTAAATAGTTTCTCAGGGGAGCAGACTGGGCCTCCAGTAATTCTCTTTCTTCTCTTTTCACTTCCTCTAGTCGTTTATTCTACAAATAGGACATTTAGGGGTGGGGTAAACAGACAGAAGGGGAGAACACTTTCACACAACTCACCCCAGCGTGCATTAGCACCAGATTCTGCTCTAAATGTTCAGCATGTTATGATAAAGATGACATTTCCAGTCAGCGGAGAAAAGATGGTGTTATAACAACTGCCTAGTCATTTAGAAAATAATAAATTGGATCCCTACCTCACTTCTTAAACCAAAATAATTTCTAGCTGCCCAGATGAAACAAAGTCAAAGAAAGAAAGGTAGAACTGCTAATAGAAAGTCTAGAAGGTATTGGTCTGGTGGATATGTGTTATTCCTTGCTCAGCATATGGCTCCCCTCTCTCAGGAATAATAATTCCAGATTTCCTTTGAGAAATCTCCCTTTGGTGGGACTTAAGGCCATCAGTACAGCCCACCTCTTGGCCATGGACATTCGTCAAGGCTGGGCACATGAGGCTGAGCCTAAGGATGACGCCAACATGGAAGGCAGAGCAGAGAGAGGGATCCCAGGTCCCTGGTGACATCATCTCAGCCACTATATCAAGCCTCACCTGAAGCTAGCCCTACTCTCCAACTTTTCTGTTCTGTGAATCCATACATTTTCTTTATTTCTAAGCCATTTTGAGTCTGCTTTTCTATCACTTGCAAGGTAAAGAGTTCTAAGTGATATTATTTGTTTGAAAAGATGTCTTTCCCAGCAAGACAGCAAACCCAGAAATCAAAATGGGAAAAAGATTGGTGGATTTGACTACACGCAAGCACAAAACTTTTTTATGGCCAGAAAAAAACCACCATAAATGATGTTAAAAGATAAATGATGAGTTGAAAAAAACTATTTGCAACATATTATAAAAAGCTAGGATATTATGGGAGTGCACACTATTTGCCAGGCACTGTCTGCATATTTTGACATATATTAACTCTTTAATCAGCATAGTGACTCTGTGAAGTGGGTACTATCATCATCCTCATTTTACAGATGCAGAAACTGAGACAGAGAGTAACATGCACAGGGCCACATACCTGCAGAGAGAGTGGAGCGGGATCTGGACTCTAGCAACGTAGACTGGGAGACGATTGTCTCCGGGGCCATTCCTGTTTCTATTACACTACCTTATCAGGAGCTGTTCTTGCAAAATAATAAGAAAAAGACACATAGCCCAAACACGGGCAGAGAAAACGTGCAACATAAGAAGAAATATAAATGCATACCTAACACAGGAAAAGTTGTTGAATTACTGATCAGAGAAGTGAACACTAAAACAATGAGATGGGGTTTTGTTTATCAGATTGGTGTGTGTGAGCAAAATGGAGAAAGCAGGGTTGGAGGAGGTATAGGGAAACACACAGTCAGTATGTGAACTGGTTTATCCTTGCTGGAGGGGAAGGCAGAAATATGGATCAAAAGTTACACTATATATATAGTCTGACCTAGCAAACCTTAGGAATTCATGCTAAGGGGATAATCAGGCACCCAAAGATGTGTGCATAAGGACTTCCTTCTTTCCTTCCTTCCTTCCTTCCTTCCTTCCTTCCCTACCTCCCTTCCTTCCTTCCCTCCCTCCCTTCCTTACCTCCCTCCCTCCCTCCCTCCCTCCCTCCTTCCACAAATATTTGTTAAGTGCCTGTCATGCACCAGGCACTGTTCTAGGCATTGGAAATATAGTAGAGAACAACATAGAGAAAAATCCTTGTCCTCATGTGATTTAAATTCTAGGCAGGGAAAAGACAGTAAATGAGATAGATATACAAAATACATAGTACAGTAGATAGAATAAGTGCACAGAGGGAAATTAAGTATAAAAGGGGATATGACACGTTATAGGGAGGGGCAGGGGTTGATGTTTTAAACATGGTGTACAGGAAAGACCTCATTGGCAAGATGACTCTTAGTAAAGACTCAAAGCAAATAAGGAAGTTAGTCACGCAGATGGTTCAAAGAAGGGCACTGGGGCCTTACTTAAAATTGGGAAATATTTGGGGCAGGCCCGGTGGTGCAGTGGTTAAGTTCGTGTGCTCTACTTTGGCGGCCTGGAGTTCACAGGTTCGGATCCCGGGCATGGACCTATGCATTGTTCATCAAGCCATGCTGTGGCGGCGTCCCACATACAAAATAGAGGAAGATTGGCACAGATGTTAGCTCAGGGCCAATCTTCTACAGCAAAAAGAGGAAGATTGGTGACAGATGTTAGCTCAGAGCCAATTGTCCTCAACAACAACAACAACAAAAAATTGGGAAATATTAGAAGCAGTCAGGTCACAAAGGACCTTGGGGGCCACAATAAGGAGTTTGGACTTTTCTCTAATGGTGATGGACAGCTTGTGAAGAGTTTAACAGAGAATGGTCGTGGTGGATTTGTATTTTAGAAGGATCGCCTGGCAGCTGCATGGGCACAGACTGGAGATGGACAAGGGTGGACAGAGTCAGGGAGACCAGCGAGAAGGCACCACATAATTCTGGCAAGAAACACTGACCCTGACCAGGAGAAGTGGAGAGCTGTGGGTGAATGTGAGCGCTATTTTAGGAAGCAAATAGGTAAGACTCGGGAATCTGGGGACTGAGGAGGGTGGAATGAAGCCAACCACCCAGGTCAGACGGGTAAGTGGAGGAAAATCAAGTGAAATGACAAGGTCGACATGCAGCAAATGCTACACCTTCACAGGGATGCGTATTATTACTACTACTGGCAATGGCTGGTTATTATTATCGTTATTATTTATACTAAGCAAAAGACCATGGGCAGCTTTTAAGAAATGGTACATAGGACAAAACAAACAGAAACCAGATAAACAAAACAAACTTGTTTGGTGTATTTCCGTGACATTTCTCAATTAGCAGGATAGGAAGGGCAACTGGCCTAAACAGCTTTGCAGGGCCCCACAGATTCACAGGCACACACACACACACACACATGCACACTCACCCACTCCTCCCAGCGAGCAATTTTCTCTGCCGTCTCCATGGCTTCCTTGCGCTCGCGTTCGGCTTCCTGCATAGCCTCCTGGGCCAGGCTTTCCTCGGCCGCCCTCCGCTCCTCCTCTGCCTTTTCTTCATCCGTTAAACCGTAATTTCGAGGCTTCCCAATCTCTTTGATGAGCTGTTTGGTGGCAAGTCTGTTCTGAGCATCTTCAAGTTTCCCGACATCTTTAAATAGCAGGAGAGAGGAAGGAGATCAACGCACGCTTACATTCTCGGCCTGCTTTGCTGCTACAAATTTGTGACGGTGAATTGTGTAAACTACCACATTGGGGTTTCCTTTTCTAGCTGCCAGCACAGTTCAGAGTTTCTTGTCTCACTGGCCCATATCAGACCAGTGTCTGGGAGGCCCGGGGAGGAAGACTGGGGGTCAGGTCTCTGAGTGCTGACAGTCACTGTTGATTTGAGCGGGTGGGTGGGGGAATGGACCTCCTCAAAACGAATGAGTTCTCCATCCCTAGAAGCATTTAAGCAGAGACTGTGACACTTCTATGGTGGTTTCCACAGAAGGAAGTCCTGCCCTTGTTGGAGGCCAGGCAGGCTGACCCCCAGGTTTCTGTGTCTGAGAATCAATGATTCTGGGATACGTTTTCAATTCATTAAAAAATTGACCATTTCAGTTAGCCTATTGAATAGGAAAAAGTCCAAACTCCAGAATATCTGACTAATGTTAATATCAACACCAAAAAAAGAAGAAAAAAAGAGCCCGTTGATAACAATGAATTCCCCCACAAAGTTGCTAAAGGAGTAAATTCTACATCACTCTCTTGAGTTTCCTGGGAAGGTGTCTGCATTTTGGTACCGGGCGTCTCCAGACCTTCCTCTGGGTAACCTCTCACCCTGCCCCATGCACAGCCCTGCTGTGCTCCCCTCCCCCACCCCCATGTTTGTACTGTTTCACCTTGACCTAGACTATGGGCCCTGCCTGGTTCTAACACTGGAAGAGGGGAAGACCAGGACCAATCTATCAGTTGGTGGGTGGAAGCAAGCCAATAAAAAAGCAAAAAATACCCCCCAAACAAAACAAAAACCCCTCACGTCTGCCACCTTCTCGCTGCCTGAGCTCTGACATTTAAATGTATTTCTCCTCGATTCTTCTAGTAGAATAATTACAGCCTTCATGTGCTTGAAAGTGCTCTGAAACATTTTTGAAAAGGCTCACTCTTGGAGAACCAGCTCACAGAGAACAGTGCTGCCCCCAGCAGTACTTCTGCCCTGACCCTGGGGCGGGGCAACTGCCCACTGGACGGGCATGGGCACCTGACCAAACCCTGACCTCCGGCTTGCCCGTCTAGGAATGTGGAATTAGGGTGGAAAGAGTCACGTCCGGCTCTTGGCTTTGCTCCCAGTGTGACATGGAAACTTTGGGGCTGTAGGGTGGCCCAACGTGGGCCAGAGAGGGGAGACAGGCGCCGGTCCAAAGAGCGAGAGAGTAAAGAGACACTGCGAAGGAAGTGGAGTCCAGAGATGGAGAGAGAGAATGCAGGCGCCAGCATTTTTCCAGGGCCCCATTCCGGACCCTCTGGGGCTGGGCTGTGTTCTGACCTTGACACCCTCCCCCATGCCCATCCTTATGACACATTTCTGCCCTTTGCTTCTACGTTATCTCCTGATTGTCAGAGTGGAGAGGAGACCAAACGTCACGGGTACGCAATGAGACAGGAACACGGTGGCCGCTCAGCCATTCCTCCCTGTCACTTCTCTCTTTCTCAACGTTTCTCCCCAGGGCTCTCTTGATCTTTCCATAAAGAATTTTTTGGGCTTAACTGAAAAGATGACAATCACTATTTTTGTGACATTTGCTCACCATTCTCTCCTAGTTCTCTAAGTAAATAGGGTAGACTACTTTCCATATTGGTAGCTGTCAAATCCTTAGCTTTTACATATAAAACACGTGTCCAATATGCACAAGGCAAAACACAGTCACTTCTGAGATTGCAAAACAGAGAAGAATTTGCAGATTTGTAAATTGTGTTATCTTTTTATTTCTTAATAGGCTATCATTTTATGCCTTACTATTGGTAGTAAAAACAAAGTGACCACTTGTTGAACTCCTTCAATGTGCCAGACACTTCCTATCTCTTCTCTACCATTTGTAACAAGCCTACAGGCCAGGGATTATTGTCCTATTTCACAGATGAGAAAAATAAGGCAGAGCCAGAACTGGAGTCAGCTCTCTTGTCTCCTGCTGCTGTTATCCCTTAGCTCTAAGCCTCCCAATACTCCAGAGTCCCAGTGGCTCCTGAGGGTGAAGAGAGGCCTTGGGAGGCCCCAGGGGTCGCCACTAAGCTTCCACCAGGCTAGGGTTTCTCACCAAACCCAGAGGAGGAAGAAGTGTCAAGATCCAGAAAACTAGAAAGGAGATTCAGGGATTCACTGATCCAAGGCGAGTAGAAACAGCTATGACAGTGGAGATTTGGAGCCAGGAACCTTAACAATGACGGTGAGGTTGATGAGAGATCATGTTTCCTGAGTGCTTGCTGGGTGCTAAGCTCTGAGTTGTGTTTACAGGAAACAGGGAGGAATGCAATGAAGAGCTATTTGCTTTTCTGGGTAGCTATGGGGGTGAGCTGGCCGGTCTAAAGGCCCGGAGGGGCTCTGTGAAGATCACCAGTGCCCTGCAATGTTATGGGGACAGAATGCTGCCCTCAACGAAGCTGGGGAATGGTGCAAAGCATTCGGCAGCAAACACATGTATCTTTCAAGTGCCCTTAAAAAATAAACGCCAATTTGGTATTCAACTTCATAATATATCCATATGATTTCATATAACAATGACACCCCTCCACCACCCAATCCTCAAGTAGGACTCCCCAGGAGGAGTGCCCTGTTTATTCTGTGACTTCCCGAGCCCGGGCACCTGGTTATACTTCCCTGTCCTCCCCCAGCCCTATGACAGACGAGCACCGGGATTGCGGTGCTCTGGGGGTCATGACACTTGGCAGTAGCTCTCCACATTCCCATTATCCTTGAGTTCACTTCATACCAATATGTATCGGGTGGATTTCAAGTTCATCAAAATAGTTTAAGACAGTCTCATCTTCAGTATTGATGTCCCGGTGGTTGCTCAGAGCCCGGAGGAACCGGTCATGGCTGTAGTGGGTCCCCGCCACGATGCTCTCGGGAAGATTTATCACCCGCTCCTTCAGGAACTCATCCGAGGCATCCAGGGCACAAACGAATTCTGGGGAGAGGAAGAAGCTCCCGCGTTAACACAATGACAGTGGAGCTAACTAGCAGGTGCCGGTAGACTGGCCACTGCTTAACCAAAACCTCTGGTTACCAGCTGGAACACCTCATGTTGCCACAAATGGCCTGACAAATTGGCCTTGCTGCCTCTCATGGAGGATAAACACATGCAGATCACCCATACTTCCAGAGACCACCCTATGAGGCCCAACCAGTTGGTATTTTGTGAGATCTATTATTTTTCTTTCCCTCCCTCCCTTCCGTTCTTCCTTTCTTCTTTCCCTCTCTCCTGCTCTCCTTCCTTTTAATAAAAGCAGCAGAAATTGTAAATAGCAAATCTCTAATAACCCTGTGGGATCTATCTTCAGCCTCCCAGTCATTCCTCATCTTGCCTCCTTGCCAGCACAGTATCACAAGCTCTCAGAGATGCACGGCTATGAGTGAAATGCTCTAATTGCCGACTTGCCAAATGAACAAAACTGGAGACTCCTCTTGGATTTTAATTTTCCATAGATCCAGCTCTTTCCTCACTTAATTCCACTGGCTATGACACATCTATGTTCAATACAATACAGTTGGCCCTTAGAGAATGTTTGACACGTGGCTCATATTAATCATATTAATTAATGATGGTGATCATTTCACCCACCTGTGATTTTCTTTTAAATTATAAAAGTTATTGTTTCTCCAGCTTCTAATACAAGTTCAATGGATATTTCTTGAGTGAATGAATAAATGATTACAGTGTGGATCAGGGAAATAAACTTTCTAGGTGAGTTACCATTCTCAGATGTTCTCGATAGGACCAGGGTGCACTGGTGCCCAGATCAGTAGCCAGGTGTCTCGCAAATAACTTGCTATCTATAAGAGCCTGGCAGGGGCCAGGCCAGTGGTGCAAGCAGTTAAGTGCGCGTGCTCTGCTGCAGCGGCCCAGGGTTCGCAGGTTCGGATCCCGGGCGTGCACCGATGCACTGCTTGGCTAAGCCATGCTGTGGTGCCCTCCCATATAAAGTGGAGGAAGATGGGCATGGATGTTAGCCCAGGGCCAGTCTTCCTCAGCAAAAAAAAAAAGAGGAGGATTGGCAGATGTTAGCACAGGGCTGATCTTCCTCACACACACACACAAAGAAATCATAAGAGCCTGGCAAAAGTTGCGAATGATTTAATTTTTATTCTAAAATTGTATTGGTTTGCCACATAATAATGCCATTCTCGCTTAACTGCATTCTAATAAGCCTTCTTGAGTGGATGAGAAAAGAAAGCGAACCCGGCAGAGCCCAGAGCAGGGTATGCACATGGGGCATGTGGAACACATGTGAACATCATCTGCTTTGTGTGTTAACAGAGAAAACAAAGGCTGAGGACGGAGCTTATGGAATAACCTATAAATTCAGAACCACTATTCTACGTATTTTAGTTTAATTTAGATGCTCATCTTTGACCACTTGATTTTCATGAGTAGCTATATCTTGGAAAGGAAGTTAGACATTTGCACTCTCAAATGCTGGTATAGTACTTAAATTGAAATTATGTCAATAAATTCACTGGAAATTGAATCTATTTAAGCTTCATGATGTCAGACATCTAGATAAAAACTGAATAATTCTGTTAATAATCTAAGAATTTCAAAATATAATACTGTATCTTTTTTTTCCAGTGATTGGGGGATGGAAAATTCCAGTTAATCAAATATTGTGAATAATAAGTGATATACTTGGCTTCCAATTTTCAAGGAATTTTAATATGATAAAATATATTTCCCACTACATGGTATTTTTTTAAAGTCTTTTCTCTTTAATGATTCAGAGAAAACTTCAGGATTTTGCAGTATCTTGAGATAATTATTCAGAAGGTCTACTGCCCTTGTGCTGGCTAACTGTGGATAGCAAGTAATAGATTTCTGCCTGGTAAGATTGTACATAACAAGGAGGTGGAGGTCACTGTATTTGGCTATCTGGAGTTATGTGAAAATCCATGTTTTAACAAAATTTCCGTATTCATCAGGTAGGTACAACTTTAAACTTGTCTCCTTCAACTAGGAGATCTGAAAAGAATCAAGCTGGATATAGGCTAACAACAGTGGAAAAATGCACTAATTTATCAATGAGAGCTAATACCACCTAGGACTGGATTACCATAGATTCAAATGTTTCATCACTCAAATCAAGCATGGATGCTTATATTAATCATGTTTATTATTTTCTGTATCGAATGATGTTTCTACATCTTGGGGGGTCCTTACAGACCCAAGGAGAGACTGCCCCTCCCAGGGCTAGCTAATACCTAAAGATAGTAAACAACTTGATACTGGAAGCATGCCTCTCATAGGCGAGTCAACCATCCCCTTTATATAACTCACACACCAAGCCAATGTTTCCCTTACCTTAAATCATCCCAGGGCCAGGTACCAGGCCAATTAGAAGCCAAAGTCCACTGGAATTACTCACACTAGCCAGTTCTCTAAAAAAGCTGTTTCCTCTGCCCTGCCTTGACTTTCCCATGGAAACCCCAATAAAGGCTGTGTTCTGGACTTCCCTATCTCCTGACCAAGCCTGGTGCTTCCCCATGCAGCCCTGCATGGTGTGGCGTGCCCCCTCCTCTGGGGAAATGTGAGTAATAAATTCTTCTTTCAATGGCATTAACCTCTTGTGTCATCACTCAGTCACCTCCATAAATTAAAGTCCTGGGGTACAAAAGAGACAATGCTCTAATTTCTTTGAGGAAGATAGAAAATAACAACAATTTCTGGAAAGAGGGCAATTTACTGAGAACAGACTAAACATTCCAAGTATATTACATCTTACACATGTTTGGACTGTGTCCAACAGAGAGAGGGCAGCCCAGTGGACCATGATTAAGGACCATTCATCATTTTACTTCTGTGTCTCCATTTCCTCATCTCGTGGAGGGGTTTCATTAATTCTGTTTTTGGAGGCAGTGGAGTGAGAAAACCCGAGTTTGAATTTAAGCCCTCCCGTTTACCAGTGAAGTGGACTTGGATAAGCCTCTGGGCTTTAGCTTCTGGATCAGGTAAACGTGGGAGCAATTCCTGCCTTCCAGGATTGTGGAAAAGTTCAATGAGCTCATATCTCGTGTTGTGCTGGGCACATAACAAATGATGAGTTAAGCTACATTTTATCCAAGAGGATTTATGATGACGTTTGCAAAGAATGAATATTGTGCAGAAGTGATAAACTCTCATAAACCAGACAGACCTGATAATTTAGAGTAATCGACTTCACTTTTTAACTTTTTCTGAGGCTGATACATAAATTGATGGGAAATCTGAAACAACCCATCCCTTTGGCATTTCATGCTCCTGCCACAAGTTTCAAAGCCCTCAGACAAACAATAAATATCCATCCCTGAGGATCACTGCTTTCTGGTGGTCTCAGTGCTTCCAGAAGCTTCGTCAAAAGCTGCGCCTGGACCAAGAGGAGGAGAGGATTACAGCCACGAACTGACTCCCTTGGGGACTTTGACACAAGTGAGCAGGCCCTTCTGAGTTACAACCTTGTGCTAAGTTGCCGAAAACAGCTGTTCTTGTCTTCACCGTATGACCAAAAATTATTTCCTACGATTAGACCTCATGCAAATTGATTAAAAAAAAAACTTTTCACGTTCATGGCAAGGTCACAAGAAATGCCTGCTAGGTACTCAGTATATCCTTTTTTACGGAATAAGTTGTTTTTGCTTCCCTTTCAAGAGAACATTGTGAAACCTGTGTAAATATGTGATAGAATAAATTTGCTGTGGAGTTAGCATTGAACGGAAGAGCTTTTTACCTGCCCTGTCTCAATTCTGGATTCTGAAGGTCTCCTGGAAAAGATGAGGACGTTGCTAGCACCTAAAACAGAGCAGGAGGGAGCAGTGGTGGTCTGGTCCCTGGTAGTCTTGCCAACTGAGCCAGAAGTCAGGGCCTGAACAGGTCGGCTACGTTTTGCTTTATTACAGGCAGCAGCAGCAGAAATGAACATTCTCAAGGGGGCTTCTGTCCATTTCAGAGCTTTAATATCCCTGACATTTACCCCCAATACATTCTCTAGTTTGGAAGTTTGTGTTTAAGTGTATCCTTTTACTTTTTTCCTAAAAGAAGAGATCCACTTTATTAACATCAAAAAAATGGTTTGGGTAAAGAAGAGATATCAAATGGCATTCCTTTAAATACGACCTTGGAGAAATAGTTTAAACTTACCAGGTATGATTAGTTTATCAAAGGGAAACATTTTGCCTTTGACCTCTTCTTCCTCCTCCTCATCTTCTTCTAACAAAACAAAATATACGTCATCATGTTTATTATATGTTATTACTATGGATCGCTCAGCAAAAAGTTAAAATATTGTAACTCAAACTCACGATTGAACAGGTCTTTGGCTTGGTCGTATGTCTTTGGGAATCCGTCTAAAATGTAACCTTGATTCCTACAAGGCATAGATTTCAGCTTTTCTTTTATAAATTTAATTATATATTGATCATCTACTTGGCCTAATAAAAGGAAAAAAAATATTACTGTGGAATCACATTTTACGTAGGGGTTACATTCTTTTCTTTTTTCAAGATTTTATTTATTTATTTATTTTCCCCCCAAAGCCCCAGTAGATAGCTGTATGTCATAGCTGCACATCCTTCTAGTTGCTGTATGTGGGACGTGGCCTCAGCATGGCCGGAGAAGCAGTGCGTCGGTGCGCACCCAGGATCCGAACCCCGGCTGCCAGCAGCACAGCGCACAAACTTAACCACCAAGCCACGGGGCCAGCCCCAGTAGGGGTTACATTCTAAAGTCATCTCCAAAATTGTTGTGTAGTCAAAGTTACTATGGAAAATCTCTTATTTTTCCCTTAGAGTTAAAAATATGTGGTTTTGTATTTTGAACACTAGACATGAATTCTAATGCACAATAGAGTAGGAGAACCCCAATGAGCTTGTCTACAAGAAAGAGCAGAAGTGAATGCTTTTATGTGCACTTCCAGAATGTTCTTCTGTGGTCACAACTTTTGGGTTAAGTTGAATGAGGAACAAGTGGAGAAATCCAGAGTCTTCCCACTTACCAGTGGGGTTGTCTTGATTCTGTTTTGCTATTATGCCTCTATAACCTTAACAGATAGTAATAAACGCTTCTGTTATGAGAGTTAAGTGAGATAGTATTTATGTACGTTGCTAACACACGACTTATTAATAGTAGGTGCTCAAGAAATATTTGCTGCATTTGAATAAAATGAAACTTGATCAGACCCTTAAAGATACTGTTCCCTTTAAAGCTGTGGAAAAGAACGTGCCCCCTCCCCGCTCCGTGACTTTTCCAGTCTGCATTTCCAACCTTGGCCCACTGGACAGTTCCCTCTCGAGCCCTGGACGCTAGGTTCCTGAAATTGCTTGGGGTGGCTGAGGAGGGGAGTTTGTTCTAAAACTGGCACAGTGGTTAAAGGACGATATGATGCAGCTCCAACACAATATTCATTTATCATTCCATCGTAATTACTGAACAGCTATCATTTCTAAGACACAGCCCTGCCCTTACATTGCTTAGTGTACACATTAAAATAATGTAAGTTTTGCAAGTTTGAGAAGTTGATCTCCAAAGCTCTTTCTAGGGTATGTACTACACTTTTAGTTTATCGGCGGGTCTACATATAAAATAAATCATTTTTGGCCTTTTTTCCTATCACTCTATTTTTTTTTTTTAAAGATTCTATTTATTTATTTTTTCCCCCCAAAGACCCAGTAGATAGTTCTATGTCATAGCTGCACATTCTTCTAGTTGCTGTATGTGGGACGCGGCCTCAGCATGGCCAGAGAAGCGGTGTGTCAGTGCGCGCCCAGGATCCAAACCCGGGCCGCCAGCAGCAGAGCGCACGCACCCAACCGCCAAGCCACAGGGCCGGCCCAACCTATCACTCTATTAATGACAATAAAATAGTCTCTTTTGTTTTTTTTAAGATTATTCCTTTTTTAAAATTTTTTTTTTAATTTTTTTTTGTGTGTGTGTGGGAGGAAGATTAGCCCTGAGCTAACATCCATGCCAATCCTCCTCTTTTTGCTGAGGAAGACCGGCCCTGAGCTAACATCTGTGCCGATCTTCCTCCACTTTATGTGGGACGCCGCCACAGCATGGCCTGACAAGCGCTGCGTCGGTGCGCGCCCGGGATCCGAACCTGGGCCGCCAGCTGCTGAGGGTGAGCACTTAACCCATATGGCATGGGGCTGGCCCCTAAAATGATCTAATTAAAACACCTCTGCTTTCTTCTACCTTTCATTGCCACATGAATTATAAGGCAGTAATTGATTCAGAAAATAATTGTCTTTCAGAAATTTAAATATGGCAGTCGAAAAACATAATCAAAGGTATTGTTTAACTTAATAAAATTCCTTGAAATGATTTGACATTACTTCCCAGTAGAATTCTCAGTAGTGCAAAGAAATAAGGCCAAAAAAAAAAATTGTCAAAGGATTCACTAATACTCAAAGACAAGTTCTATTTAAGCAGTCTATTTTCAATTTTCAAAGGCTCCGTTGGTAAGGCAAAGGCACATACTCAGAAATCTAGCTTCGGTCCCCTCCAACTCATCCCTTAGTTTATTTCAGGCAGTGAATTTTGCTATTCATTTCTGTTTGCTTCAGAATATAAGTGTTCAGTATGCAAGAAGGGACCCCCAGCAGCGGTTTATGATAATTATGGACTGTGAGTACACAAAGGACCAAGCCCAAGTGCCTTTCTCTGGAGAACTGTGACCTCCTAGAGATACACCCGTGACCTGAGCCATTGATGAGCTCTGGGGAAGCGGACCGTCATTGCTTCTTTAAAATGAATGAACACAGCCCCACTGGGTAGCCTTTAAAACACCACACTGCTGTTGCTGCTTTTTTTTAAGTCTATCTTTCAAATACCAGAAATGTTTACAACGCTAATATTAACCCACATTCACAATTACTAAAACATGGTTTAAAAATAGCTCCAACCAAAGTTTTAAAATAATCCGTGCACAGTATGGGCACTATGAAGTGGATACATTTGCAGATGTTTTTCCCACCAACTTTTTATTTTCAAACTCACAGACGAGTTGAAAGACTATTTTAATCATCACCTGCAATCCCACCAACTAGATTCAATAACTCAACAGCACTTTTGAAATATATAAAGTGAGCAAAAAGAATCTATAGCTAGTATGCTCTGTGGTTTAACCACGCTTGTTTCGGCCGCACTGTCAGGGGCTTATGGGAGAAGATCTATGGGTAGGACACGGAGGTGCCTCACTGTGAGATTGTGCAACTTCTCTTGCTGGAATCATTGGAATCACATAATAACAAGCTGGGTCATGTGAGGGAAAAGTGAGCTAACCCGTGTCCTCATGCTGTGAAATTTCATTGTAGGTCCGTGCAGTGGGTTCAAGGATCTTGTTTTATCCAAACACAATCAAGGTCCATGGGCTAGTTTCAGGTAAATATGAAGAGGAAGGATTTTTGGAAGGAAAAAAATACCTTCCTAAGGTTAAAGGGGATTGAATGAACTATTCTAATCTTGTAGGAAGTGGATGGGCGGGCATACCAACTGGGAGAGGGGAGAGGAAGGGATGCTTGCTGTTCTGAAGACTCTCTGGTCCCCCAAAGACCACTTCCTCTGCTCCCTCCCAGCGCCTCTCTAGACAGAGGCTGCTGACCCAGGCTGGCCTCTCCTGCATCTGGGGAAAGAACAAGTCCCCTGCCAAGGGCAGGCCTTTCCTGAGCTTGGGCGCTGCGGTGACTGTTCTCAACTCGGTACTGTCTCTACTATAATTCTTGTTCTGTGTGGTCACCTCCCTGGGCATGGGAGCGCCCTGTCAGTACTTCACACTGTCCTGTTACAAGAGGTCCCTGGGTAAGACTTTTGGGTCCTTGCTCTATAAGTCTTTGCCAATAAGCATTGTCCAGTGTTTGTCTCCTCCCATTAGTCTGAATAATAGATGTTCTTGCCTTGCCTCTCCCCTAAGGACGGTTCCCTGCCCCCAGCGCATTGTTTCTGGCTTTATTCCTCAGGCTTAAAATGTACGCATACACTGCCCTCCGCCTGTAGATTCCTAAAAGTCCCAACCCCCACCCCTCAATGTGGCCTTGCCAGATTTCCCTCCACAGGTGTTCTCACAATGGAATGTTGTATCTTGGGGTTTTTTTCTTCTCCCCCAAATGGTGGGAGCCAGGACTCTGCTAGACTCTAAAACCTGGAGAGTGACCCCGAAATGTGTCCTGGGCAAGGAAGATGCAGTGTTATAGCTCAAAGTATTAATTTATGTTTTTTATATACCTTCCTTTTCCTCTGGGAAATCTCTCTGGGATTCTAAATGCCATTTCCTCATGGCCAAGCCCAGACCAAAGCTGAAACCAGGACTCAGATAATCAGCTGGCTTAAGTGGACACTCAGTGTACGGTACAAAACCATTTTCTCCACCCCCAAAAACTAGATTGGAGCGGCCCGGGGAAAGGAGGTAGACGGGGAACCTGGACTTCAGAGGAAAGCACGGAGGGAGCGGAGTCCTTGAAGATGAGTAGCTGGGAAGGGGACCACCTGGAGGGACAAGAGGGTGGAGTGCCAGAAGACAGAGATGGAGAGGGCAGTCCAGAGCGGAGCCTCAGGGGAAGGCAGTGGGTGGTCCTCAGCGGGTGGGTCTGTGAGGGGCCCACAGAAGCACAACACCAGAAAGGAGGAGCAAGCACAGATGCCATCCCATCAGTCCCCCAGGGCCAGTTTACACCTCTGTCCTTCCCCCCAATCCCCACTTGCCCCAGCCCAACCCTGGAGGATCAGAAACAGCCACCAGCAAGATGGGAGGAATAAGTAAGAGGAAAGAAACCAAACGTGCTTCAGGGCGCCGCCAGGGGTGAAACTCTACTGGATAAGAGTCCGAGCTATCGCTCACATTGGACTGGTCTATAGACGATCCTAGTACAACCAGTTTGATGGAGGATCTCAACTGTCTAACTATAAAAACGAAATGGTTTTATTTTTCGAATGACTGCTACTGACTGTTTTCCTGCTGGGTAGCAAGCTCCCTTCGAGTTCCCATCTCAGTTCAAAACCCTGTTTGTGATTATTTGATTGGAATGGACTTCTTAAAGCATGAATCAACAAGAGGCTACTTTCTTATTATCTAAAAGTCGCAGTGGGATCTGCCCGAAATTCCATCCAAGGGTGGGGAAAGAATGAGTGCAGAGTTTGAGTTTAAAGTGACACTTTACTGTGATTACTTTGTTCAAAAACCTGGTTTAAATTACCAAGTGACTAAGACTATTTTTCCATTTATTTGTATTTCTTCCTGCATGAATTATGGGTCCATGTTGTTCATTTATTTTTTTTTGTATTTAGGATTTAGTGATTTTCTATTAGTTTGCCTGAGCATTTTATATATTAAGGATATTAACTCTGTCATATTGGTGGCAAATATTTTTTCCTAGTTTTTCTTTTGCCTTTTAATTAATGATATCTGATGCTTATAAAATATTTGTGACTAGACATTTGATTTTTTTTTTTTAACTTAGGGGGTTCTTTCCCATGCTATGGTCAGATAGTCACCAAAATGTTAAGGGTGATTTTTTTTCCTGGGGGATGAGATTATGAATGAAACTTCTTTGTGGTTGTTATAATTTCTGTACTTTACTTTCCATAGCAAACAAGTAGTCTTTCATAACGAGGAAAAAAAAAAACACCCCTATTAACAAGACCAGCACAGCCCTGTGCCGTGTGTGCATTACCTGAGTTCTGCTCCATGCTTTCCCTGATGCCGTCTAGGAGGTCCTGCGCATCTTCCACATTCTCTTCTTCCTCCTCCTCTTCACCTTCCTCTTCTTCTTCCCCTCCAGCCTTAGGTGTGACAATCGCTTCCTACATACCACAGGGATATTCAAATTGGAGGATGCTCTGCACTGATTTGCTACTCACAAATCATCTGGCAAGGGATCCAGGAAAAGCCTGGTACCCAAATACGCAATGCACTCAACGACAGGCGTTGTGCAAAAGTTGTCAGGATGCGAGTATCTACAAAGAGCTACGAGAGCCGGGGCCGGCCCCAATGGCGTAGCGGTTAAGTGCACACGCTCTGCTGCTGGCGGCCCAGGTTCAGATCCGGGCGCGCACTGACGCACCGCTTGTCAGGCCATGCTGTGGCGGTGTCCAATATAAAGTGGAGGAAGATAGGCACAGATGTTAGCCCAGGGCCAGTCTTCCTCAGCAAAAAGAGGAGGATTGGCATGGATGTTAGCTCAGGGCTGATCTTCCTCACAAAAAAAAAAAAGATGGATGAGAGCCTCGAGGGTTTTCTTTCTCTGTTTTAGGAAAATAATCTATTTCTGTGCTAATGCTAGAACTGCTTAAGAATCAACACTTTTCTAGGTATCCGGTAGTATCTTACTTGAAGGAAACACATTTTGTAGAAATCAAGACTTTTAGTGCTCACTTATGGAAATGTAGGTCAGTATCCACCATTCCCAATAAAATGATAAAAAGCAACTAACTGGGGAGAGGAAGGGAAGACAGACCACAGAGGATTTTTAGGGCAATGAAACTACTCCGCATGATACTATAATGGTGGTTACGTGTCATTATATATTTGTCCAAACCCATAGGTTGTACAACACCAAGAGTGAACCCTAATGTAAACTACAGACTTTGGGTGATAATGACGTGTCTGTGGGTTCATCAATTGTAACTACAGTCATATGTCACTTAACGACGGGGATACATTCTGAGAAATGCATCATTAGGCGATTTCATCGTTGAGCAAACACCATAGAGTGTACTTACACAAACCTAGACAGTACAGTCTACTACACACCTAGGCTATATGGACCATCGTTGTATAGTTGTATATGTGGCCCATTGTTGACAGAAATGTTGTTAATGCCGAGCATGACTGTAATGGCCCACTCTGGCGGGGGATGTTGATAATGGGGGAGTCTGTGTGTGGGAGGGGTAGGGGATGCACGGAAAATCTCTGAACCTTCCTCTCAATTTTGCAGTAAACCTAAAACTGCTCTAAGAAAATAAAATCTTTTTTTTTAAAAAAAAAAAGCAGTTAATAAACAGCCTGATAATACCCTGAGACACATACATTGAGAATTTAAAAAAACCCTCAAAATGTTCCAATTGACAGAGAGAATATGAGACATATTTTGAGCAACAGCTGGAGACAGACTAAATTTCAAGGGCAAGCCAGAAAGATGCTTCCATCTCACAGAGGAAAGCCCTGTGGGATTCTGTTTTCATAACTGGGGCCAACAATAAAATCCAATTAAAATGACAAATCTCTTTGTAGGATGCCGTGCAAAATTAGAGGCTTCTTACAAGACGAAGAAAAGCATTTTTCAAATAGAAAAATTCCCAGTAACGTAGTTAACAGTGTTACCAGTTTTGCTATGGCTTCGGAAATAACGTCCTTCAATTTAATGTGGGGCAGTTTGTAGTACTTGGACAATGCCTCGGCAATGCTGGATTTTCCCACAGCAGGAGGCCCGAGAATGCAAATCTTGATGGGCTGAAAGAACAGAATAAAGCTCATGTGGCAAGCTCTGAACCGTCTGTAGCCAGGCAGTGTTTTTTGTGTTGGGGTGTGCTTTTTTGAAAGTCTCCAATCCTGCAGGGTAACTCCCGCTCCTCCATCAAGACTCCAGAGTCACTCCTCCAGGTTTTTAATGAGCATCTACTACATACACTGACCCGGGCATGGGGGCATACAAGACTCAACAAGATGGGCTCAGGAATACCTCCAAAGTACCAAAAAGCAGTACTAGAGCATTACATGCTACCAGTTTCACAGTTATTGTGTTACTCCTGTAAAGATAACAAACGAACCGGAGAATTTTTGGTCCGATATAGAGGGTGCTTAATTTATTGCCTCGTGAATATTGTTTCCAGACTGAACTCAGTCTTCAATTGTACTTTCCTTTTTAACACAGTTAATTTATTCCAGTTTTTAAAAACACTCATTTTAAAAATACCACACTGTTTCTTCTGCTGAAAAAAATGCTTGAATGCTAAAGAAGCTCGTTCACATTCATAACCAGTGAGTCAATGTTTATTTCTAACAGAAATAAAAATATCAGTAACAAACAGTCATTTCTTTCAAAATGGTCCAAACAGTTGTGAAACTGAGGTCCAGTATTTTGCAAGGCAAATTTTAAAATTTAAAGTTTAAAAAATTAAAAAAAAAATCACGCCGATGAAGAGAACTTCCATTGGCAGAGTGCCATATGCTTAAAGATTACATAATTTCATCCACGAAGTTGACTATCATATTGTTACTACCATTTGTCAGACGAGGACACCAAGGCTGTGAAGGAAATAGGCAGGGACATTACAGAGGTGCTGGATGAGGAGTGGTGAATATGACTGATTAGGGACAGGCATTTTCAGGGTGATGGGAACCCCCAAGATGGCAGGCAGTGGAGGGAGCAGTGTTGGGAAAGCAACTCTGGAGCTGGGTCTGGATGGGCAGGGCTGGGCTCCCAGGTGGGCTTGGTGCATTCACCAAGGCCTGAGGTCCAGCTGTCAACTGAGCAGGTTCACGTGCCTCGTTCCATCCACACACCAAAGGCGGATCTGTCTCCCGGGATAGGCTCACCTTATCCAGGTACAGAACCAAAATGACAGTTGATTCATTTATAATGAGAAGGATGACTGCCACTGAACTCAGAACACTCCAGGTGCACCTGTCCGGGACATTTACTCCCTCAGGGCAGACAGGCATGGAGGGTTGTTGATGAGCTTTGATCAGAACAAGGAGAGTTAGATGAATGCACTGTGTAGTGGCATCGGGTCAAGGCGGCTTGATGCATCTTTCTCTGCAGCAGGGACATCTTTGCTTTGCTAAAGGAACTGGGATCGTGGAAGCCCTATGCTTGAGACTCCATCTTTTTGGATGTCACTGGTGTGGCACTGTCTACATTGCCCTCAGTACTGTTTTCTGTTCTATGCTGCTATGCTGACCAATGCCCCAGGGATGGATAGACTCTGTTTAATTTTTAGATATGCTTATTCTTTCCTTATTCCTTCTATCGTGTTCTGTCCAGTCCTGCTAATCAGGAACCATACGGTCTCTTTAAGGTGTCTTGTCTTATCTCCACTCTAGCTGTGGCTTGTTGTATAGTGGCCCCTAGGGGACAACACTAGTCTACCTCTTGAGTTGGGGTGGTGTGTGCCTTAGGATAGTCTCCCAGGACAGCCACCATGGGTATCTCAGATGCTTAGGGGTCATTGTTTCTTTTGCTAAGTGGTACATCTTTTACTTATTCTTAACAAGGCATGTTTTTCAGGAGAATATGGTTCTTAGGATACAATGGTGACACTGTACTTGCGTGTATGGAGTATTCCCATGCACGATGGTAACTATATGATGGCATCTGTAACTCATTTGCTACTCTTCAGTTCTCATGTGTTATCCACTTCCATCTTAGGAATGCTTTCCTGGGGTAAATCCAAAGCTCCGGGAAAGGGTGCATTCACCTGATTTCAGACGGGGGGTATAGAGGCTCTGCAGTTAGGCCATTCTTGTTAAGGTTGCATCCTGGGTAGTTTGAACCCCTGACTAGCTGTGTGACCTTGAAGGCTAAGGTCACATTTTTCTGAGCCTTCCTACCTTGAAAAGTTGTGATTGAGCTTACTATCATATTCAATTTGTGTCAAGCATAACAGTTATTATCTATGTTAACTTTAAAATTTTTAGGGCCGGCCCCGTGGCTTAGCGGTTAAGTGCACGCGCTCCGATGCTGGCGGCCGGTGTTCTGATCCCGGGCGCGCACCGACGCACTGCTTCTCCGGCCATGCTGAGGCCGCATCCCACATACAGCAACTAGAAGAATGTGCAACTATGACATACAACTATCTACTGGGGCTTTGGGGGAAAAATAAATAAATAAATAAAATTATTAAAATTTTTAATACAGTCATGTGTTGCTTAACAACAGGGATATGTTCTGAGAAATGCATCATTAGGCGATTTCATTGTTGTGCAAACATCATAGAGTATACTTACACAAACCTAGATGGCATAGCCCGCTACACACCTAGGCTACATGGTACTAATCTTATGGGACCACCGTTGTATATGTGGTCCATCATTGACCGTGATGTCATTATGTGGCACATGACTGTATTTGATTGACAAGTATTAACATAATATACATGTAGATTGCTAGACCTGGACAAATGGGTCAAATTTGAAAAAGAACTTGAATCTAGAAACTTGGACATTTGAAAACGAAAGTTTTTTCATTGGTGTAATTATACTAAAAGTTTCATTTACTTTGTTTAAATCAGAAGCTTAAACAGGAAAAGGTTATAGTTACCAATAATCCTCTGCTTTGCTTGTACTCTTTGAGGATATTGTTGATATTCTCCACAAATCCTGTTTGGGCAACCCATCGAATGTTAAAATTCTCCTTCACAAAGAACGCTTCCATTCTCAAGTTGACCAGTAAATGGTCAAGACACTGTTGCTAAGAGATAAAGGAATATTAGAGATTTGTCTTTTTTTCCTTCATTTTTACAGTTATAACAGACCAAAATCACTGCAGCTATTAACGAAAAAAAATATATCTTCACAAAACATGAAAGTCAATTAATCCAGCACTAAGCATTGATTGAGCGCCTACTGTGATACGTTGCGACACTACTAAACTCTCCCTATACCTGTTCTGTCATGAGGCGACATCCTGGCTCTGGTCATGAGACATGCAGCTCAAAGAGTGGGAAGATACTGGAAGTCCAAGCATGGATTTCTTTATAAAAAATGTCAATTGTATCTACTTTTTGTGAGGAAGATCAGCCCTGAACTAACATCCGATGCCAATCCTCCTCTTTTTCTTTTTTTTGCCGTGAGGAAGGTTGGCCCTGAGCTAACATCCGTGCCCATCTTCCTCCACTTTATATGGGACGCCGCCACAGCATGGCTTTGACAGGCAGTGCATCAGTGCGCGCCCGGATCCGAACCTGCGAACCCCGGGCCGCTGAAGCTGAGCGCGCGCACTTAACAGCTTGCGCCAACGGGCCGGCCCCTGTGTCTACTTTTTGAATAGTGCAATCTCGTGGTTCAAAATCCAAAAGAACAAAAAGGATAGAGGAAAACACTCCCTTTGACCCCCATACCACCCACCAGTTCTGCTCCTCAAAGGCAACCAGTGATATCAGTCCTTTCAGAAACATTTGCAAATACAGTGTCTTGATGTAATTTATTCCTAAAAAGAATTCTATCCGAAAGCAAGCTCGAAGAGCGCACTGCATGTCTAAAACTATTGGTTTTTGTTGTAATGGCATCAGAATCTCAACCTCCTGTTTGAATCTTAGAAAGAGGGCAAAGAGAATAACGCCCAGTGTTTGTATAGCATTTTACATATCAAACAGCTTTCAGATACATTTTCAACCAGGACCTCTGAGGGCTTTTCAGAAAAGAAAACACACTCAAGCTCGCAGAAGAGAAGAGTAAGTTGCTTGAGGGTAGCATGTCTAGTTCTGCAGGAGGAGCTGAAGGTGAACTTGAAGCCAGGTATTCCGACTCCAAATCCCTCAAGAATACATTTAGGAAAACAGCAGAAGAAAAGAATCTCTAATATATACTAACTGTTAAGTCCTTGGTTAGGAAAGCATTTTCTCTGGGTATTTTCTGGATTCTCCCAGGGCCACTATTTTTACTGATGCACTGTTAGAGAAAAAGAGAAAGATTATTGGGTTTACCTGTAAGATTTTAATATAAAACTTCTCAAATGAATGTAGTTTTTATTTTTTATATATATTTTTTTGGTGAGGAAGATCAGCCCTGAGGTAACATCTGATGCCAATGTTCCTCTTTTTTTTTTTTTTTTTGCTGAGGAAGACTGGCCCTGGGCTAACATCCACGCCCATCTTCCTCTACTTTATATGGAATGCCGCCACAGCATGGCCTGACAAGCAGTGTGTCGGGGCATGCCCGGGATGCACACCTGAGAATGCTGGGCCGCTGTAGTGGAGTGGGCGCACTTAACCACTGCACCACTGGGCTGGCCCCTGAAATGAATGTAAACATAACTGAATACAAAAGAAAATTTGCAAAGCAGAGAGGAGTGTACTGAGGGTATTCATTGGTTTATTTATTCCACGCATATTTAACAATCACCATTACATGCCAGGGCCTGGAGATGGAGATGAGTAATGCCTGACCCCTGCCCTCTAGGAGCTCCCAGTCTGAAAAGGGAGACAGATGCATGTACACAGACATGTAATGTTTGCAGCTCAGTAAAGGGGATGCTGGGAGTACAGAAGAGAGGCCCCTGCCTGTGCGGGAGGTGGGAAGGAGGCAGGAGGGTGCAGAGGAAGATATCTGAGCTGAATCTTAAAGATGAGTGGGAGTGGCCAGGGGAAGGGTAAGAGAGGGCCGCACTCACAGGGCTAGCTGGGCTAGAAGTGACAGGTGGCTCTAGCCAGAGCAGCCCGGACTGGAGAGGGAGCCCTCACAGGCCTAGAGTTCCTGGAAGCCACCAGTAGGTCTGGCAAACCTGACCATATCAATACTGTGGGGGAAATCCACAGACACATTTTAGGATCCCAGTGTGTCTGAGCCCTACAGTGGCCTTTCCTGCTCCCCTCTGTGCACACACTGGAGGAAGGCCGTTTTGGTTGTAATTTCCCAACACATACCCTGCAAATGCAGATAGTGAGTTTGGTTTTAAGGATATTCTGTTTTAGGAGTCCCTGGTCTTGTTAGCAACCCTGATTCCATAACTATAGTTTGGGGAGTAAAACGATTTAAGAAATGCCATCAAGCATGGGTTGAAATGGCTGTACCTTGACAAAGTCTTCCAGGGTATGAACAGACTCGTCCACAGCAACCAGGTAACGAAGCTTTGGCACGTGGTCTATTATGTTTTGTATCACTCTGCAGACCAACAGGGAAAATCATCACCGGAGGGAAAAAGCAAAAGAGAGGTGATAAAGTGAACTCCCTGAGCAGCACCCCCGTGGGCCAGGCCCGGTCTGTGGTGCTTTACGAAATTATCTCACTCCGTCTCCAACAAGGTCAGGGTTGGGAGGACGAGCCGCACTCTACAGATGGGGAAGCTGGTCCTGAGTTAAGTGACATTTCTTGGGTGGAAGAGTTATTGGGAAAATAGAAGGACCAGGATTTGAAGCCAGATCGATCTGGCTCTGGATTCATCTAGTATACGCCAAGAAAACCTGACCTCCGACAGGACTTCAGTTTGTCGACACAAATAATCCATAATCAATCTATAATCAAAATTGAGGCGAGTTTATTATGAGCCAGATCTGAGGACCAGCCTGGGGTCTTCCTTCCCCAAGGAACGAAGCACACCAAAGAAGTAGGGTGGACAGAGTGGTTATATACTGTCTTGGAACAAAGAGCACACATCACATGTGACAGGAATGTCCCTTTTACAATAGTCACGAGATTGCTTTGCTGGCAGAGCAGATCAGTGAACACAGCAGGTCAGTGGTCACAAGGTGAGTGGTCACAAGGTGAGCACGGCAGGTCAGTAATTAATCCGTAGTTCAGGGAGAGATGCTTATCTTAAAGGAAGTGCTGATATGGGGGAGGTTATATCCCTATCTTTAGGGGCATCATTCTTGTCTTTGGGACATAGTAAATGTTTAAAGCAGATGTACAATGCATGCTCAACAGGCCACGTCAGGCCCTTTCGGAAAAACAGGGTCAGACCCAATTAGTTTTAAAACAGATGGCTTCCTCATATACTCAAGTATATCCTGTTGCTTGTCATTTATTTATCAAGTTTATGAAGTCTGTCCACCCAGAGGCTCATTTAAGTCTCACAACAGTGCTTTGGGATAGGTGTTTCACAAAGTACGACGCAGATTCAGAGAAGCTGTGGCTCTCTTAAAGGACTGGTACAGGGACTGGGCCTGAGATTTCCTACCGTGGATTAATAACGATTGCCAACATTTCTGAGTGCTTAACTCTGTGTGGGGACTGTGCTAAGGGCTTTGCAGGTGTTACCCTATTAAATCGTCACAACCACTCTATCAGGTAGGTACTGTTATTACAAATAAGAAAATCAGACACAGAGAGGTTAAGCAACTTTCCCAAATTCACACAGGTAGCAAGAGGCAGAGCAGGGATTTGAATACAAATTAAAGAATTCCAGAGAGAAACAGTAGTGAACAGAAGTCTATCACGATGACTCGACTTGCCCTCCATTTTAGCTTCCCTTTCCGCAAAAGGAAAATAAACAAATGCACACATCTAAATGTCCATTTCTCATTTATTTCATATTAATTTCTCAGAACACTTCATCTTTTAGCTTCTTTCTTTGTTAAATATTTGACAATCTTCAAAGAAACCTGTAGGAAAAAATGTTACTGAAAGGGGCCCTGAGTCTTTCTGTTATGGGAAGAACTGAACTCTCTAATTTGTCTGTTTGGAGATAAGACGTTAAGGACCAGTGCTAAGGTTTTTTTGTTTTTGTTTTTGTTTTTGCTGAGGAAGATTCGCCCCGAGCTAACATCTGTGCCAATCTTCCTCTATTTTGTATGTGGGTGGCTGCCACAGCACGGCCACTGACAAGTGGTGTAGGTCCGTGCCCAGGATCTGAATCTTGGCCGCTGAAGCGGAGCGTGCCGAACTTAACTGCTAGGCCATGGTGCTGGCCCCCTGAGCATTTTGTTTTAATAATGTGAAAGATTTTTCCACATCTTTAAAAACTGATGACATAATTATGTAAAATCTCTGCAGAAAAGAAGGGTGCATTTCAGTCCCCCATGTCTGCTATAAATGTTGGCTGGAGCAGATCTAGGTTTTCTGTGGAGTTTGAAGCTTATACAATTCAGGGGATCCTTCTTTAAGAAAAATAATAAAAATTAAGTTTAGGGTCTTGGAAGAGACCCATGCAGGGGAAGAGTCCTGAAGTTTAAGCCTCATTGCTTCCCAGTAAATCTGTAAATCCGCCTGGGATTGTGACTAATTTACTAGTGACCATGGATGAGAGGAAGTAATCTAGAAACCAGAATCTCAGGGAAGGGAAGTGCTGACAGTGCTCCCTCCCAGGGGATGAGCCGAGGGGGTGGTAGAATAAAGCCCCTGGAACCCGAGATGCAGAGCTGGTGACCACAAATAAAGTGAACCATCTCTTTGACCTAGTGTTTGAGTCAGCGGCTGCAAAGAAGGAGAAAGGGTCTCTGGACCTGTCTGGAGCATAGAGTTGGGATACTCTGTGAGTGCGGAAAACGTGTTAACTTTACCTACAACTGCCCAAAAAATGCTTCAGATTTAGAGTTAGCTCTCTCCTTTCTGGAATTTAAGTTGGTGGGCTAGACATATCAATCTCATCTAGGACAGAGGAATAAGAAACTAGGTCCCCGAATGCACGTAACAAATTCTTTCTCTTCCAAAATTGGGAGACATGCTCTTCTGCTGATTAAGTTTCTAAAAGATGAACCGGAACTTGTCATCAGAAGCGTGAAGCTTTTAGATGGTGGACACTATTTCATCAGATGCAAAGTGGAGATAATAACAGTACCTTCTGCACAGGGTGGTTGTGAAGAATAAATACAATAATACATGTAAGGGTCTCAGCACTTGGAAAGTGCTTGATAAATGTTCACTTATAAACAAACACATTAATCGATTAATTCTAGGAAAGTCACATCTCTGGGAGAATGCTTACCCTGCTAGATCAAGAACATGAATTGCTGGAATTACATTTGTTCCATCACCAAAAACAGGTAATGCAGGGACCTCGCCCAACCAAGCCATCTAAAAGAAAAAAAAGCAAAGGCATATTTTCCCCGGTTATATGTGTGTGACTATTATAGCTCACATCTAGGGTCATAGATCTATTTATCTGACAAAGTAATTGCCTCCGGGGGTGCTTTATAAATCAGTCCTGATGACATTTAGTTGCCCATCAAATCCTATTAAGAGAAATAAAGTGTAACTTTAGGACCGAAACACTTCTCAAGAAATCTATAACCTCATCAGCTATCTTTAGGCATCATTTGCATGTTATCTATATAGAGAGAAAATGCTTTCATATGCATGATGTCCTTAATTCTCACAAAAAGCAGAATTAAATTAAATTTTAAAATTACCCCCACTGGCAGGGGGTAATTCTCATCAGTTTATAGATGAAACGCGTAGTAGATAAAGTATCCCACAGAAGGTTACACTTCTGATGAGTCCCTGAGTCTGGATTTGACCTCTGGTCTTCAGAGTCCAGATCCTTCTCTTTTCCTTTCACTAAGTATCTCAGTAAATAAATAGACAGTGTGGATACTGTTTAACTGTTATGTACTAGATTATTTAAATTGCTTTTAAAGAGTGAAAGAGGTAGGGGTGGGGGCCACAGCAGACCACTGAATCTTGTAAGGTATTTTGGACTCTGGGTACCCATTTAAGGGTTTAAGCAGTGAAGTGACATCATTAGATTTGCTTTTGTCACCTTGTGAAGGATGATGGGAAGTAAGAGTCTAAATGGGGAGATGGAGGCCATGACAGTTGTACAGGCAAGAGATGGTTTAGCCTGGCCTGTGGGTGGGGAGTTGAGGGAGCGGAGTTGGAGAGAAGGGAGATATTGAGGAGGCTGGTTCTACAGGACTTGGGAATTTTGTGATGGATGAGAAAGAGGGAGGACTTGGTTCTGCCTGGTGTGGCTGGCTGGAGGGTGGTCCCAATTTCTGAATGGGGCCCCGGAAGAGGAGCAGGTTTGGAGGTGACTGTAGGTGCAGTCTGGATTTGTGAAAGACATCCAAGTTGAGGTGCTGCATAGGTAGCTGGATCTGTAGAGCAAGAACTAAGGAGAGAGAGAGAGCCTCCCTGGAGACTTATGTTTGAGAATCGTGGGACCAGTCATGGGAGTGAACAGGCCAACCCAGGAAAAGAGTATAGATGGAGAAGACAAGAGGGACTAAGGCAGAGGCTGGAGAATGTCAACATTCAGTGGTCAGTAGGTAAGGAGTAGCTGAGAATGGACAGTGAGAAAGAGCTTTCTTTAGCTTATCCTCTTCAGCTGTCATATCTCTTATATTAAAAAATTCAAACCAACCAACCCTCTCTTAATTACATGTCTTCTAACTCCTGCCTTCTTTCTCTGCCCCAACTTACAGCAACATTCCTCAAAATACTTCTCTATTCTCACCACCTCTACTTCCCCTCTTCCTGTTCCCTCTTGAACCTACTCATATCAGGCTTTTGTCCTATTGAGTTCCAAAAAAATCCAGTGGTGAATTCTCAGGTCTCACATGATTTGATTATTTGCAGTATTTGACACAGTTGGTCATTCTTCCTTTTTAGAAACACTTTCTTCACTCAGCTTTTTCAACACTCTTGTCTTGTTTTCCCTCTTACCTCAGTGGACACCCCACTCTCGGCCTCTTTTCCTGGTTCCCTCCCATCTCCTTATAATCTACAAATATTGGAGTGTCCCAAGAATCAGCCCTTAGACCTCTTCTCCTTTCCATATTTATTCTCTAGGTGATGTCATCCAGTCCTATGGCTTTAAATACCACCCATACGCTGATGGCTCCCAAGATGACATCTCTTGCCCTGACCACCTCTATGATCTCCAAACTCATACGTCCAACTCCCTACTGAATATCTAAACTTGGATGCCAGCCATCTCAAACTTAACATGTCTAAAACTGAACTTCCCATTGCATACCACGCCCTAACCTGTTCCATTCCCCATTTTCCCCCTCTCAATAAATGACAAGTCCATACTTCCAATTACTTAGACCAAAATCCTTGAAGTCATCCTTTACTTTCTTTCTCTCACCCTAACATCCAAGCTTTGAATCAATCGCATTGACTCTGCCTTCAAAATATATCCAAAATCCGAACAATCTTCAGTATCTCCATCATTCCCACCCAGGTCTTAGGCACTACCATTCTAACTAGCCTCCCCGTTTCTGCCCTTGCCCCACTGCAGTATATTCTCAACACAGCAGAAGAGAGTTATCTTTTTAAAACTTAAGAAAGATTATGCCATTGCTGTGCTCAAAATAGTCTAATGGTTTCCCAACCCACTAGAATAAAGCCAAAGTCCTCCCAATAGGCTACAAGGCTGGGCTCGACCTGACTCTTCCGTCACCTCTTTGACTCCCGTACTTTATTTATTTATTTATTTATTTATTTATTTATTATTTTTTTTTTTTTAAGATTTTATTTATTTATTTTTTCCCCCCAAAGCCCCAGTGGATAGTTGTATGTCATAGCTGCACATCCTTCTAGTTGCTG